GGTGGCGTGACGGTTAGGTTGCTGGACTCGCATGCAGTTGCCTACAGTTCGTGTCCCGGACCAGATGGCTCAAAACTCACACTGGGCACATGTGCATCCATGCCCGAACCCCAAGAGGAGAGTGAGGAGATGGGATCGCAGAGTGGCCATCCCCCTGGAAGGTGATTTCTCACGATCTCTCCATCTCTCTCTGTCTCTCTGGTGAGCACACAGACCCTGTAGCAAAATAGCTCTTGAAAAAGAATAATATTAAAATAAGTGTGTACAGGGTGCTCGAGGGAATTAAAGAGGGAATTCCACTTAAAAACATGAAAAAACTAGAAAACCGAAATAGGAAAAAATTATACAAGAAAATTAAAATTTTCAAAATGTAGAAACACTAGGTAAAAATATGAGCGTTGAGAGGAGAAACTTCACAGCTGAAATTCTCCTGGGGAGCCTGAGGGACTGAGCACAGCGGAGGAGAGTAGGGGATTTCTACACAGAGCAGCGACAGACCAGCAGCAGCAGGGGGAGCCTCCACTGGGCAACTCTTTTTTTTATTTCTTCCATGAAAGGTAGACAGAGATAAAGAGACAGAGAAGGAGAGAGAGGGACAGTATCCCCGTTGAGTCTTGACTCAAGACCCACCTCCAGCCACGGGCGACACATGCCCAGCACACCAAGAGGTCTCTGGACTCGAACCAGGATCCTCCCCACATGGACTGCCTCCGTGTGCCACGCACTGCCATGCAGCCCACCTAGGAACTCAGGAGAAAGCAGAGCCTCAGCCCCCAAGAGCCACCGAGAGACTGAACGTGTTAATGGCCCCCCGGTGATTCACATGCTCCTGCAATTTAAGTAGTGCCGTCTGGGTACGTCACTGGGCTCCCATGTAGTCGACTGTGGTTTGAGTCCCAGATCTGGGGCTTAAAACAGGCTGGGTGCATGTGCGTGCATGCCCAAAATCCCGAGAGAGTGGAGGAGAGGGGACTAAGGGGTGGCCATCCTCTCTGGGGTGGGGTGACTTCTCACACTCTGTCTCTCTGTCTCTGTCTCTCTGGCGAGCGCACACACCCTATAGCAACAATCTCTCTTAAAAACAAAACCCAGATGTGCCATCTTAGAGCACTGGAGGAATCGTGAAGCGTCTACTCAGGGTGCAGAGCAGAAAGACAGGGCAACATCGTGGGAAAGGTGTGAAGGGCCAGCCCAGCGGCTGCAGAGTGCGGAGGGGCGTGACCTGCGGGGCGTGGCCTGCGGGCACCCTGGGGTTCCGGCCCCTGGGGTGACCTGGGCCCTCAGGGGGTGGGACAGGCGGGTGAGCGCAGTGGGGGCCTCTGGAGGGTCTCCTCTCCCTCCCCTCTCATGAAATAAATGAGTAACAAACTTGGAAACGCAGACCTCTGTGTGTCCCTCCTGGTCAGCTCAGGGCAGAGCAGGGAACTCAGAGAGGTGAGAGCTGAGAAATGGGGAGATCCCAACGGGTGGTCCCCGAACCACGAGCTCGTGGGGCAAGAATGGTGGAGCAGACAGGGCATTTATCCGTAGGCTTTGGAAGTGAGACGAGTCACCTGAACCTTTCATGAGGACACACATTACCCTGAGGCCTCTGCTCCCACCATCTGATCGCTCCCCAAGGCCCCCTCCTGCCACCATCGCATGTGGGCTCCATGTCACAGCAGGCTGTGGGGACACGCCACGCTCAGCCGTGGGCGGATACCGCACCGTGACCTGGGTACAGTGGTTCTCTGCCCACACACGACCCTGCGGAGAGCTCCCGGGAGCCAGCCGGCTGTGGTGGTCCCCAGTGCCCACGGGAAACGTGTCCAGGCCCGGGGACGCCGAGCCAGCTCTGTGCTGTGCACGCAGACGGCTCAGAGACGACAGCGGCTCAGGCTGCAGAGACAGTGCTGGCCACACAGCGTGACCGACTCTGTGGCTGGAGCCCTCCCTGCCCTCACGGTAGACCCTCGTGGGCCGGACAGTGTTGCTGACTAGGACCACGACCGACTGCAGGGAACGGTGAGGAACCGTCTGAGGAGGGCTGTGCCAGCCGGCCTCGCATCCTTACAGGTGGCACGGGGGTTAAGGCCTCAGAATCCCACATAAAGTCGACTGTAGTTCGAGTCCTGAGCCTGGACCTGGATTTGAAAATCAAGCCAGGTGTGTGGGTGCGTGCCCAAGATCCCAGGAAAACAGAGGAGGAGGGATTGTGGTGTGGCCGTCTTCCCTGGGGGGTGAATTCTCACTTGCCCTCTCACCACTTCTCTCTGTCTCTCCAGCAAGTGGCAGGGACCACCCTCAGCAGTCCATCCCCCCAGGCTGGGAGCCAGCCCTCTGCTGGCCTGGGCTGTGCCTCAGCAGCATTTGGAGGGGCCAGGCCCGCAGGGGCAAGCAAGGCCGGCGGGCTCCCACCTGTCCTCCCCACGGCTTTCAGCAGCTGACCATGACACCCCGGGCAGGGCCTTCCCCCAGAGCCTTGAGGGCTCATCCCCACTGGGACTGCTGGCCTCCAGAACTGTAGGATTGCCATGCTTTCAGCCACCAAGCTGTGGCGGTGACAGACAAGGGCGGTGGCCTGTGAGGGCAACTCCGGGAGGCTCCTTCGGGGTCTCCTTCAAGGCCTGAAGTTGGTAAGGCTGGGGGGGCAGCCCACTCATGGTGCAAGGGTTGAGTGTCAGGTCGGAAGATGCAGGTAGGACACAGACCCAGGAGTCAGGAGCCGTGGAGAAGCGGGGCTGGACCGACCCGGAAAAGAGCAGGGGGGCAAGTACTAGCTGGCCGCAGTCCGAC